TTTGGTTTCCATAAACGACTCGGGCCCCTCCTTCAATGTAAGTCTATTTAGCCTGTTTTATAGTCTGACAGTTAATGGAATTTCTTAGAAAAGTAATAGCATGTCTAAAAAAAAAAAAGTGCACATTGATGTTTAATACTTAAGCTTAGAGTTTTGTCTAAAGCTTTAACCTTTATTATAATAAATATAAATTATTGCCTTAGAAATACCATTAAACACACACTACCATTTAAACAACCAGGCTCAGTGCTTTTTTTTTATTTTTTTTAAAAGAAATTTAAAGTGACAGTTAAGATTTTCACACGGTTACAAAATAATCTATTTGAAATAAATGCTATTCTTTTTAACTTTTCATTCAACAAAGAATCTTGAGAAAAAATATCACAATTTCCACTATTGAACTGATGGTAAAATTACCAACATTATTAACTGTCTTGAAATTTACTTTGAAAGCTGAAGCTGCGATTATGGTAAGGGGCAATAAGCCATTTCCGACGCGTGCTTGTGGTGTTCGGCCAATCACAATGCACTGGGTCAGCTGGCCAATCAGAGCAGACTGCGCTTGTCAAAGGAGGGGGCTTTGTTGAAAATGATGCGTTTGAGAGAGGCGGGGCATAGAGGACCTACAATAATGTACAGTATTTGAAAAATAATGTGGTTTTTGAACATTATTCTGTCAACATATTCTGTTACACCAAATACACAAAATAATGATCTTTAAAATAGCATCATATGACCCCTTTAAGCAATACAACTGTTTTCAACAATGATGGTAAGATAATAATTAATGTTTCTTCAAATCAGCATTTTAGAATGACTTCTAAAGGATCATGTGACGCTTAAGACTGGAGTCAAAGTTGCCATAACTGAATAAATTACATTTTCAAATATATTCAAATAGAAAAAGAGTCATTTTAATTTGTAATGTATTTCCTAATATTACTGGTTTTACTGTATTTTCGATTTTTTTAAAAATGCAGCCTTGGTGAGCATAACGGGCTTCTTTCAAAAACATTAAAGTCCACATGAAACAGAAGTTGTGATTGTCCTTTCTTCCCTATTGTGACGTATATCCAAGTGAAACAGCTTCTCGAACAACAACAACAACAAAAAAAATAAGGCGGGACTTGATTTGACCATCGGACATTGATTGGATCACTGGATCACTGTCATTTGCTATTGCTGTGATATCATGTGAATGACGGGTTGCTGGAGGAGTGAGATTATCGTCCTATGTCATCAGAGAAGAGAAGAGATGAGATGTCGTTGCAAGGGGAAGTGGAAGTTGATTAAAGATTATGAGGGCATATGAATAAAAAAAATGAAGATGTGCAATCATAAGAATTTTCAAGGACTTTAAAAAAAATGTCCTGACCCCAAAACTTTCAACGGTAGTGTATTTCATCTGCTAATTGACAAGTCCCAAGCATTTTGTGATGGTCAACATAAAAAATACTGCATGTGATGATTCAAAACACCTGAATCACCTGTTTGATCTCAAAACTATTGGTCAAAAAAGGCATGATTTTTCACAGTAAAGTACAGTCACATCTCTGTGTTTGGCTGAACTGTAAATCACATTCTGGTGTGCTGTCACACATACCTCTGCGCTCTTCATTGCTTTCAGAAGGTTTGCCATAGTCTCTTTAAACGAGCTGATGAGTAGTCGACCCAGTTGCTCATACAGCACACCCAAACAGGCCACAGCTGCCCTGTAGGGAGCAATAAGTAAACTCACTGGCAGAGGATCAAGCTGAAGCCCATCTGCAGCGCGTGATGCATGCATATAGGGTGCAGATTTATGACACTCACAGTCGTGTAGGCAGGAAGCTGGGTGAGTCATCCTTGCTGCGGATGATGTCATTGCAGCGGTCCACAGTGAGGCTGGATGTGAGGGAGTCGCCCACTCGGTACACCAGCGCCAGACATTGTGCCAGCAGCAATCGCGTCGGGGGGCCCGGAGAACTCGTCAGTACCGCCGTCAGCTGCTCCACCAGGCGCTTCTGGTTCTGTTTCACATCGGCCTGCCACACAAATACATGCCGACTTTCTGTTTAATTGCGGTTTCTTGGCACTTCACCAATAAGAAACAGACAGACACATCACTAGTTCATTCCAGGCTGAGAGACAGCCGGTGGAAAGGCAGACAAATAATCAGGGAGTCTGTTCAAAGAGGCTTGCTTGTGTTTGTGTTCGAGCGAGAGAGAGAGAGAGAGGCATACAGAAGTGTTTCTTCTCAAACAGAGAGCTTATTGTCAGCGCCCTCAACTCACCCGGTCTGTGGCAGGGAGTAGTTTCTTGAGGAAACGCAGCCACTCGATGACAAACTTAGCCCTCTGGTGCTCCTGTAGCTGATTGCAGGCTTCCTCGTTCAGCAATAAACTATGAGCCTGCTCCATTTTCCTGTCTCTTCTCCCTCTCCAGCTTTTCACCTGAAACCTCGACCGCAGCACCACTCACATTCCAGACACCTTCATCCTCCCTGAAATAAACCACAAGTTTACAACTGGGGTTTTCACAAGAGGTCCGTGGAAAAGTTTACAGAAAAACAGTGTTTAAAACAAAAAAAGTGAAAATAAATAAATAATAAAAATAAATATACAAGTAAACGAATAAACAATATTTTCTGGGGTTTTTAGTTAAAGTTTTAGTATGTCTATTTAGTTTTGTACATTTTTACTTTAGTTTTTGCTCTTTTAGTACATCAAGTTAAACTAAATGAAAAAGAAAAATGTTGCTGTGGCAAATAGCTGAAATAAAATAAATTTAAGGATTAATTTATTTCAGTAAATGTTTATTTTCTTTCAAGTAATGATCATTTTAAATGGTTTTAGTTAACTATAACAACCCTGTACAGCACTATGTTGAGTAGGGAAAATTTTTTATTAATATAATGTAATAGAAACTACATTTTCAAATAACATTTTGCACATACTTATAATATGTATTTTTCACAGTACAGATAGGGTCTTAATACATGAGAATATATAGCTGCCTTTTAACTTTTAGGATGGGGGGTACCTTGCACAAGGACGATCACATTCAGGAGTGTGTGCCATCTAAAGGATTGAAAACCCCTAGTTTCATAAGATAGCCACAAAGGATACACCAAAGATGTTGTAAAAAGGAACTGATGCAATTCATTTGACTCTACATATCTGCATTTACTGATAAGGACTTTACTACATGTCCGGTTTCATAACTTCTACATTTAATCTGAATGTGCAAAAGTGTGTAAACATGCCAGTTAAATGGTTTATTATAAAAAGCACATCCCTTCTTCCAAAAGTACCTTGTAAAGCAGGGGTGCCCAACCCTGTTCCTGGAGATCTACCTTCCTGCAGAGTTCAGTTCCAACCCTGATCAAACACACCTGTCTGTAATTATCAAGTGCTCCTTCAGATCCTAATTAGTTGGTTCAGTTGTGTTTGATCAGGGTTGGATCTGAACTCTTCAGGAAGGTACAGGTAGATCTCCAGGAAACCTGTTGTAAAGTTATATGTCGCCGCTATGAATTATACATTGCGTCCAGAGTCTGCGCAGTCTGGAAAGAAACCAGCAGATCATGCAACTAAAAGAAGACCTTAAATGGATCTCAACTTTTAAACCAGATTAAGGAGGGTGAGATACGGACATCAAAGTGCCTGTCAGGGGAACAAAAAGGATGGGATAGGGAAATTATTTTAGGTTTGTTGGATTGTCCATGAGGAGTCAAACAGGCTGTCTGGAATAAGACCCCTTACTTTCCTTACAGGTTTATTAAGTTGCAAGGGAATTGCTCATGTGAATTTGGTTCGTTATATTCAGTTTGAATGTGAATTTAACCTGCATATTTATTATTATTATTATAAAGCTGATTGTGAAAGTGTTTTGTTTTATGCTAACGTTACTCTATTACCCTGTAGCTTTCTAATCAAATTAAAAAAAAAAAAATCCAACAAATCAGTTTGAGCACTGGATAAATAAATGAACAGAGATGTTTTCATAAACAAGTCTTCACAGTGGGTTTGTTTTCTTGATGGAGATGACTCCAGGCTAAATGAACAGGACTCCCGGCTAAACCGATTTGCTGCCAACTTCACACAAAGATAGTCATCCTCTAACATTTATTTTTAACTAAACATTCGCCACAAAGTAAAACATACATGTAATTGTCAGTGATTTAGTAAGTGTTAGGTGTTTTAGCCTAACGCTAGCGTTTATCCAATGCTAACCAATTCTCTGACATGCTAGCAAGATCAATCTTTAAAAGCAGCGATTTACTTATCTTTAAAATAAAAATACCGTGCGGAAAATGTGCATTACCTGCTAAATCCATTAACTGTAATGTCGGGGGAGAGATGTGAAAGGTATATCCCTATTCAAGTCGACTGTTTGTGTGTAATTCCTCAAAGACTGCTTGCATGAAAGTGCGAGTCAAACTGTGAAGAGCAGTCACGTTAAAGAGAACATGAACGGGAGTGACCGCTAGAGGGACAAACACATTACTAGTTCAAACCAGACTGTAAAACGGTCTAAAAACTACACGGCTGTCTACCTAGACAACTTTTTTTTGGTTACTATATCAACCTACTGAGACTACACTTATCTGCATTACAGAATAGCTGCCTACCTGTACAGCATTTTTGGCCAGTATATAGCCACCTACCTAGGCAACATTTATGGGCATTCCAACAACCACAAGCACTGTTATTCCCTTCAAGTTACATTTACAGAATCAAAAACAGCTTTATAAATACATTCTATAGTTCAGAGAGAGAGGGTGGAACAAGAGTATGTAAAAGGGTTTGGTGCATGAAAACCTATATTGATAGTTTAAGTGTAGTTAGGGATAAAAAGATGAAAATATAAAGGCGTTCATTGTTAATATGCTTTTACACAGCATTTCAAAAGCAGCAGAAAACAAAAAGACCAAAAAACATATTTCTAAAGAACATGACAAAGAAAGGCACAGCATACTTGACTAAAACTGGTGGACAAAAATGAAGTTTAAACAGTTTTATTTGTTCATACATTGTTTTTGCTTATATATTTATTTACAATATAATCAAATAAAATAATCTAAAATGTTGCCTTTTCAACTTTTCACATCAGATTATTCAGAACTTTTCTTTTGCCTTTATATTGAGTTGTGTTTATGCTTTCATTAGAATTTTATGGTATGACATCCACAGATTATGACCTCCAAATAAAAAAAAAATAAAAAAATATAAATATATATACAACCCACTGATAAGCACTGCATTGTAGAAGAACTAGCTCAACAAGGCAAATTAAAAATCTTCATTTGAGATGTTTTGTAAGCTAAAGCTAGCAAACATTTCATGAGCACTGGTGTTTGACATACCAAAACACACTTAAAAACAACTGGAAAAGTAGAAGCTAAAATACTGTAAAACAATGTGATTAACAGCACTGAAACGAACTGACTTAAGATACATTTTACAAATGCTAAACTATGATAGTGAAACTCAGCAGTATTCCATAAAATAATCATCCTCCTCATCACTGTCATCAGCTCTGGATGGGATATCTTTATCTGACAGCATATTCCACACCACAAAGTCATCATCTTCAGCTGTTGAAAACACAGGGGGGGGGGGCATTAATAAACAACACATTTTTCAACTCAATACACTGTAGCATGTTTGATTTACCAAAAATTGAACGTGCATACCAACACATCTCTTTAGAGTCTTCTTGACTACTGGAGTCGGTGTAAGCTTGTCCTACACAAGAAGAATATTGTATCATCATATTAACGGGAAAAAACAGAGCATGTTCCTATAAATAAATAAAACAGTTGGATCACTTATGGGAACAACATTAAAGATAAGTAGGATTTTGAGACTGTTACTATTGGTGCTGCCTTTTTGCCCCGTTTCCGTCCCTTCTGGTTCTTCTGAAGATGGAAAATGTACTTGTCCATGTTATTCCTTAAAATAAACAAAATATATATATAATGAATTACTGGTTTATTATACAAAGACCCAAATTAGACATCTGCATTTTTGAAAAATTTCTAAAATGAGGCATTAAGCCTGATGAGTGCACTCAGCATCCGCCCACTAAATATAGCTTTGGCATTCGAGATGAAAGCGTACTTGTTGATGGATCCCAGCATTCCTGGGCTGATGTGCAGACACTGAGGGGTTTTAGCAGCAGTAGAAATGCTAGAACTTGGCGTCTGGGGGTTCTGAAGCAGGCTGAAATCTTCATCATCTCCGTTTGCAGCGAATACAGGCAACTACAGAAGATGTCAGGTTAGATATTCTTAGGGTACAGACAAGATCTGGTATCACTGAGACGGGGCTTTATCAAGTCTATGTGCAGTACACGAGGAATCTAGTTCAGTGCATCTGGCTCTAAATCAATCAACAATTAGTTACCTTGATTTGCTTATTGTGCATTGGTGAGTTAGCAAACACATCGTCATGGTCATCTTTTGGCATGTGGTCCAAGAAATGCCTCATCTGCTGTCTCCTTTTAAGTGTTCCAGTTTTAGCAGTTATTTCAATTATTTCCTTTCCTGTGAGGAAAAAGCAAGATCAGACTTTTTTTTTTTCCATTTTCAAATGCATGAATTTGCATTTGAAAACTTTCACAATCTGTAAAAACGGTCATATAACCCTTGAAATTATACAGTAAAGTATAGGAACCTGGCTCCTCAGTTGCTGCTGGTTTTTTCTGTGCTATTTTTCTGGGTCTTTTGTTGGTCTTCTGATTGGAATTATACTGTTCCTGACACTCTTCAGCCGAACGAGTGCCAACAATATACGCAACGTTTGCCCAGTAACCGCTCTTGTGCTTAGGTAATGAGTTGACAGCCCTGTCCAGGGAAATAAACAGTGCTATCATGATCTGTCTACATTTTATGCATCCAAAGGAATGGCATGAATTTGTAAAATAATGGAATTTCTTACAACCACTTTTTTCCTATCCTGTGAAAAACCAAGTAAACTTAAATCCCAAATTTAAAAATAAATAAATAAAATTGATATTGGCATTCAAGATTAAAGCTTACTCGTGTAGTTTTTGTAGCTCTTCTTCCATCCATTTTCCATCTAATAGCTCATCTTCATGCTTATTGCTGTTTTCTGTATGTGGCTTTTTGCTTCTAGTGTTTGCTTTTCCTGTTTCAGATTTCTTTGATCTTCTGTTATTTGAAACAGCATGTTGAACACTTTCCTCATCCTCTGAGTGCTCAGAATGCATGTCCTCTGAGGACGCAAGGTGTCCATTGGTTTTAGGTTCAGATTTTGCTTTCCTTTGTCTTGATCTCTTCAACAATAATGTGGTCTTCTTGTCATGTCGCCTTCTCTCTTCGTCATTATCATCATCTGTGGGAAAATCAACAGAATCTCCTACCAAAACATCATCTGAATTTCTCTGCGAGACCTTTTTTGGTCTAAGTGAACCTCTCACTGAGTCCTGTTCATTTTGTTCCTTATGACTGGTAGAATCTTGCACCACAGACGTCTCAGCTTTATGAGGTTTTGTTAGCTGTTTATGGTCTGTGGACCCTCTTCCTCTTCGCCTTTTTAGAGGGTCTGGAGATGCAAATGAGCTGTTAGAGTCAGTAGAGTATTGGGCTCTGGAGTTTATGCGAGCGCTTCGGCGTAAGGAACTGTTGTCGTGTGGCATGGATTGTGGTTCACCCTGAATTAGCTTTTTTGAATTGCTGTTGCTCTTTGTCTTCGGATCATTCTCAAAGCCTGATTCCTGTTCTTCATATGACACTGTTCCCTCCCTAGCTGAGAAATGACCATTCACTGAATCAACCTTTGTGTTCTCCATCATTTCTGACTCTGAGTCCATAGCATTTTCCTCTCTTCCTGACTGCTGTTTTCTCAGAGAGGCTCTTTGAGGTCGACTAGCTATTTGTTTCACTGCATGACCCGAGCTTGAGCTACGGGCCATAACCAGGGGTCCTTTCTGAGCTCTTGAAGGTTTATTCAGTGTTGTGCTCTGAGATTGGGCTTTTCTTTGGGGTTTGGAACGCCGTTTGATCCTCCTTATTGGCACTGACAGCTCATCTTCACTGCTAGATGTTTTACGCCTCCCTTTTGTAAAACAAATAAATGTTAAAATTTGAATGAAAAAACAAATGCACTTTAAAAACAAACATACGTTATCAATGCACACCTCTTCCGAGAGTTTTGAGCCTGGATAATTGTTCCTCTGTGATTTGTGACGTTGCCATAATTACTGGTTTCTTTGGCTGGAAAGAAAAATAACATAAAATTTAAGAAATGGCCCACCTGCACCATAACAATATTAAAAAAAACCTGTAAATGCCATTAGAGATCAAAGACAATGTTTGCAGTGCTGAATGAAATGAGAAGAGTACCGTGGACAGCAATGAGGTAGAGTAGTCCCCATGGATAGTGACATTCATGTCAGAATCCATAACAATCCTCCCTCCTTTCCAGTATTCCAATGGTGGTTTGATGAGTCGGCCACTGCGGGAAACTTTTGCATTGCCCTGCTGAATGTTGCCAGTGGGCGTGATGGAAATGAGAGCTATACCGCAAACAAAATCAATATATTAGCGTCACCATTTCAAACCTATGGGGAATGGGGATGAGCATAGTTTAAACCAAATATTTGAACTGGGATTCCAAAAATTCTCGATAACGAAACCAATAAAATATAAACACAGCTAGACAATAAATTAATAAGTTAATTATGATTGATTCAGTAATAAATCATTCAGACAAATTTGTGAACCGTCTAACTGATATAAATGTCACCTTTACTGTTGAAATGATATACTCACATGCTATATTGCCCTGATGTCTGGATGTTGAGTTTTTAGAGGCCTGTTGGTTTTTAGCTTTGGAAGGTTTCACACTGCTGTTGTCCTTCTGACTTTTCTGCGGTCTAAAACAAGAATAGGCAAATTAGTTTAGTTAAAGAGTTTATTTTTATAATTTGATAAACAGCATAAACAGAGTTGAGGAAACTTACCTCATATGACCACTCAAAAACTGATCCAGGTACTCCTTCCACATTTTTGGAAACCCAAAAAGAAACTTCTTCAAAAACCATGATGGAAACGCTGTAAGGGTCGAAACAAAATTGTCAAATGAAATAAACACAATCAAAGTAATGCAACCTGATTTAAAAAGCATTTTCTTACATGAATTGGGATGTTTGGCCATTTTCCCAATGAGGACATAGGTTCTGCCAGATGACGTCTTGAGAACATTGCTTGAGATTCTTTCAATGATAAAACTGCTGTGCCAAGGTATCATAGTATCTCTGGATGTATCAAACAAAAGCATTTTAGAGCCACATAAATGCTTCATGGAGGATTAATGAAAAAGCATAACGCTGTAACATAATACATTGTACATTATATTATAGTGCAGACACTACGACAATTCTTTATGGTATTAAAAAAAAAATCACACAAACTAAACTAATCGGAAGAAAGCAGGAAGCAAATATCTTACATGCGAATACCGTCAACCACAAGGTCTTTGTTGAGCAGTTTCAAAACCCAGTCTCTTAAATGAATCCTCCTCACCTAAAAGACAAAAACAATGTACTAACTACAAATGCTGAAATACAGATCCCAATTACAAAATATAAAACCACCAAATCACATTTTTGCATTTTGTTTTGGCAACGATTTTAAAAACCATTAAGAAACAAATGCTAAATGTTTTAACTTACATTGGTTTCTTCATATAGAGTTATGTCTGCTTGTTTAGCTTGTTGTTTTGACTGAAACACAGACGCTGTCTTTCGTGGGATCAACACCCGAGGAGAGAGCTGCAGGAGAGGATCATCCAGTAGATTATGAGGAGGCTGAGGGAGTCCAGGGACCACTTCTGTGCACTCCGACTGACCAAACGGATCAGACTCAGGACTACTGGACGTGTCTATTTGGAGCTCTTCCTCATTGTCCCTTTCTACTGCAATGCTCCTCTCACCAAATACAACACCACCTGCAATTAAATTACACAGAGTTAATGTGTTATGATCAATGCCATATTGTTCTTTGCATGATAGCTACTTTTGCATAATTATTTAGATTATAGTAAGTCTGTAACCCAATTTTAGGTAAAAATCTGAATAATACTTATTGCCAATTATGTTTTCACGCACACAGAATTTGTCGTGGTGACAGAAGAAGCTTCCAGTGCACATATGTTCATATATATAAAACACAATAGACAAATGAGAACTAACTCAAGAGTTATGCAATTCGGTCTGGTTTTGCAAAAACCATCATCATAAACAGAGCATCAGTATATGGTCATTAAAACAGGATTCATATCCAGACATAATACTTTATTCTAAACCACTGTAATTTTATGAATAATACAGAGTGAAATTAAAAATTATACCTTTATTTCTGATGTCCTTTGAACCAGTGACATAGGTGATGGGTTTCCGCTGAAGCTGGGCTAACATCTCATCAGGAACCATCTTGTTCAACAGCACATGAGGCTCTTGAGTAAACAAATACATACAGATTTTTATAAATTAATCAGGTCGCACTGAATATAACTGCCCTAAAATGCCAAACAACAGCAATTACTAAAACAAATAACATTCAAATCATACGTAGGTTTCTGTTATAAAGATTCTCTGTCATTTGCTTTCGCCTTTCTTTCATCTCTGATAACATCTCCCCAGGTATTTTCTCAAGTAAAACATAGGGCTCTAGAAAAAGAAAAGGGATATTAGTAGAATTAATTTCCATCAATATGTATGACATCTGAAAAAAAATGGAGAACTAACCAATAAATGACTCTGACTCCGTATTAAAGGTTTCATGTTGTCTTCCAGGCACTTTATGAAGATTGATGGAATGGCCATCCTGTGGTAAGTCCATTTCTCCAACTTGTGCATCTCCTCTCGGTGACTGTGGAGGTGAGAGGGCTAACACATATGTCTCCTGGTTGGCGTTACTCTTTTGAGAGTACTGGGTTACAGGGTTCGAGGGGACACTGTCGCACATCTCTTGATTGCTTACATGATCAGAGGCTGCCCCATGCCCTGCAGAATTTTGTATCTGAACTTTTGCCTTCATTCTTGCAAAAATCTTTGCCGGCGTCTCGCTGCACCTCTTCAGCATCAGGACCGCTTTGTCTTGAGGGGCGACCTCCGCCGTAGCATTGATGCTGCTGAGCTCACATGGGATATTTGGGCTATTTGCTTCAGCATTCTGTGCAGTGGAGTTCATCACCAACACATTTCGGTTTGAGATCTTTCTGCCTGATCCAGTTGCCCAATTGTGAGCTACTTGAGGTACGGTTTTCACTGGTGTGATCATGTCACCAGGCTTAGGGTCTTCAGGAGCTATGAAATAGTCTTGCAGTGGATAATACATTGTTGTATTAGAAGTCAGACTAAATGTTTTCAGCCCCACAGTGGTCCATGTTCTCCTCAAAATCCTATAAGATGCAAAGGGGAAAATGTAATTAACAAAATAAGCTAAACAGGGGAGATTGATTAATCTATAGACTGTCTTTCGTCTATAAAATTGGACGCTTTCTATAAAAAAAATCAGTCACAGGATTTGTATTAATATGACTCGCAACATCAGTAATAAAAAAACACATCTTAATCGATTTAAACCATGAACACTTCTCTAAATCCAGCGTTAGACTGGCTGTAAAATACAAAAGTTAAAACGAAAGTAACCCCGTGCACACTTATCCGTCGACTTATCCCGTGTAAAATGATCGATTACATATCAGTGAGTGAAAGTTCCAACATAATATATATATAGTTGATTGAGTGACATTGGGGCCTATTTTTCCTAAAAACCGACTCACTTACCATATAAACTCGTTTGAATTTTCCCGGATAAAGCGCGGCTAACAAAAAAAAAACCGCTGCTAACGTCTCGCGTCGCGTAAGGACTGCGTCACTTCCGTCAATGACGCAGGAAGTGAGTGGTTCATTTCAGTGAATCGGTTCTTCGGACAGTTCATTTCAAAGAATTTGCTTTAAACAATTCTGTAAATACAGACATGTTAGAGAAGTTAAAAGACACCTCTTTAATCATATTTCGGATATGACATGTCTACTTCCATAGGAGTAACACTATTTTTCCGATATTCAAGCTTTTCAATATGAGTGATTCTTTCAGAATGGTTTTGTGAACCGGTTCAATTGTTACTTGAAAAGATCCGACTCAAAAGGCAAGGCAAGTTTATTTATATAGCACATTTCATACACAATGGTAATTCAAAGTGCTTTACATAAAAGATATTAAAATAACCATGAAAAATAAAAACTTTTCAAATAAACTAAAATTTATTTTAAATATATTAAAACAGTTAAGAATAGAAAAAGATTATACATAAAATACAGTACAATCAGTTCAGACGTTGCACAGTGCTCATTCACTAAATGCACAGCTAAACATATGAGTTTTGAGTCTGGATTTAAATGTGGCTAATGTTTTAGCACATCTGATCTCTTCTGGAAGCTGATTCCAGCTGCGGGTGGCATAATAACTAAAAACAGATTCCCCTTGTTTTGTGTGAACCCTTGGCATTTCTAACTGACTTCATCCTAATGATCTGAGTGGTCTGTTAGGCTTATATTCAGTGAGCATATCTGCAATGTATTTAGGTCCTAGGCCATTGAGTGATTTATAAATGAGTAAAAGTACTTTAAAATCAATCCTAAAAGCTGCAGCTGTCTAATGGTCTTCTTGGGAAGGCCGGTGAGAAGACCATTACAGTAGTCCACCCTGCTGGTGATAAAGGCATGAACAAGTTTCTCCAAGTCTTGACTGGAAACAAAACAGCTAATTCTTGCAATGTTTTTGAGATGATAGTATGCTGTTTTAGTTACTGCTTTGACATGACTACTGAAACTACGGTCTGACTCCAGAATCACACCAAGATTCTTGACTTGATTTTTAGTTGTTTGACCCCTAGAGTCAAGGTATGCATTCACCTTGAGAACTTCATCTTTGTTTCTAAATGCAATGACTTCAGTTTTCTCCTTGTTTAGCTGAAGAAAGTTTTGGCTCATCCAACTGCAGAGGGAGTCAGTGGGGCTGTAGTCATTTGGAGATAAGGCTAGGTAAATCTGGGTGTAAATCTGGGTATCATCTGCATAGCTGTGATAGGCGATTTGGTTCTTTCTCATTATTTGACTTAGTGGGAGCATGTACAGTCTAAACAAGAGCGGTGCAAGAACTGATCCTTGTGGGACTCCGCATTTCATGGACGTCCACTTAGACTTATGCTCTCCTATACTCACATAATAACCTCTCCCTTCTAAGTATGACCTGAACCATTTGATTACAATCCCAGAAAGCCCGACCCAGTTTTCCAGTCTCTCTAGTAGTATGTTATGATCAACAGTGTCAAACGCAGCACTGATATTTTGCCAAAATCAGAATTTAAGCGAATATAATTTATTATCTTTATGAGTGCTGTCTCTGTGCTGTGATGCGGTTGGAAACCAGATTGAAAATTGTCCAGGTATCCATTTGAGTTTATGTAGTAGTTAAGCTGATTAAAAACAACCTTTTCAATAATCTTGCCTATGAAAGGTAGATTTGATATTGGTCTGTAGTTACTCAATATGGTGTTATCAAGATTGCTCTTTTTCAGGAGGGGCTTAACAACTGCAGTTTTCAGGGAGTTTTGAAAAGTCCCAGAGAGAAGTGAGGCGTTCACCACTTCTAAGAGATCTGCTTCTAAACAGTTTAACACACTTTTGAAAAAGATGTGGGAAGTGTGTCAAGGTCGCAAGTTGATGATTTAAGGTGCTGTACTATTTCTTCCAAAATTTTGCTATCAACTGCTTCAAAAACAGACATAGTAACTGCTTTTTGAAATTGCGGTCAAATCTGTCTGACCTCTGCATAACTTGAGGATGTGCTAATCGGCTTTCTAACATTACTGATTTTCTCAGAAAAGAAGGAAGCAAACTCATTGCATTTGCTGTCGGAGAGCATTTCACTGCCAATCTGACTTGGGGTGTTTGTCAGTCTCTCAACAGTAGCAAAAAGAGTGCGAGTGTTGTTTAAGTTACTGTTTATAAGGTTTGAGAAGAATGACTGTCTAGC